TGAACTGACTCTAAATTTAATTAAAAATTTTATACTGTATATTAGAATCATCAAAAAAAAATTGAGCCATTACATAGTTTTTCCCCTATCCGATGCACAGCAGATGTCTGGAACTTCAGCTCCCATAATCTTTAGATGGCATGCTTTGCTGGCTATGGATTAAAGGAATTATTCAACATTCCTAGAAGACACCAGATTGAGAAATGTTGATACAGTACAGACAGCACTCTTCTTACAAATGGGCCACATTCTGAGAGTTCATAAATCCACAAGTCCAACAAACATAAAAACATGCACAATACAGTTCTTATCTTATGGTATACAAATAGATCTGTGAACAGTATACATGAGGAAGGCAGGAAAAGATTAGTTTTCAGCATGCCACTTATGTAAGTGACGCACCAGAAACTAACCTTTTCCCGCCTTCTCCCACTCCTTTTTGGATGGAGTTGCAGACAGACTTGTTCGTATCAATGAAAGTTCATAACTCAAAAGTTTATAAGCTGAGTAATGTCTGTATAGGACTATTGAAAAATGTGTTTTCTTTACCACTAGGGGGCCCTTTGTAACCATAATAGGTATATCGGTCATCTCATTTTGTTTGTCATAGATCTCTCCCATAGTTCTTAACACAAACTAATCAGCCTTCTAAATCTCCAAACATTACAGAATCAGCAAATACTGAATCCAGAGTGAAGGGAAGCACCATTGCTTCAATCTTAAATGCTCAGAAGGATTTTGTTTTGTGGAAAGTGGAGAGTTTAAATCACAGATGGAAAACCCGGACTATAAAACTAAGTGCATTCAGGTTTTGCTATATATACATGCTTCCATTAATTATTCTTCAGGAATTCAAATTATACAATTTAACATCATTTCCACTCCCTTGCTTCCCTTGAAGACTGTTATGCTTTTTGTTACTCAAGATGGGCACTACTCTGATAAATCGCCCCTCCTTGCTACAATTACTATATTGTCCAGCAACAATGCTGGCTCTAAGACAATACCTGAAGTTGTAAATGTATTCCGTTATGCAACAGTATGACTCCATCCATAACAGACAAGCCACCTGAATTCCAAACTTAAGACTCTGAAATCAGCATGGACAATTAAATCTTGTCCATATTCAGCTTTAGCTTGTTTTCCCATATACAATCCTTGGCAGCCTGGAGATGTGTAACCCTGACATTGGAGAAAGAAATACAACTGAATATAAATCAAAGTATTGTTAGAATCTGACTCCAGACTCATATGTGAACTTTCTCAGTCCATAGAATAATTAGATAATGTTAAAGATAATGGACCCTTGCTGGATCCAGAAACAGGTCAATTGAAAGGTCTTCTAAAACCATCTTCTGATATAATCCCAAGTAGTAGAATTGGAGGTAATACTGAATAGGGCCTCTCATCTCAACCATCCTCATTCCCTAGTCAACACTATCAAAAGTCTGAGAGGTCCTTGAGTATCAAACACTCCTCTTGCCTCTTCCCTGGTACAGATCACCTATCAAGGTAAATAAGGCCATTTCCATGCCAAACGTCTGTCTGAAGCCAGACTGGTAAATATCTAAATAATTCATTTCCTCTAAGAGTTCCTGGAGCTGTAGCACTGTAGCACTGCAGTTCTTTACCAGTTTGGTTAAAGATCTTCAAATACACTTCATCTATTCAGCCCTGAGATTCCTTAGGGATTTGGCATTTTAATAGGAACATAATTGTTTGAAATGTTAATATAATTTGTAAATATATTCAGAGCTCTTTTTGCTCTAACATTGGCTATATATATTGTTTCCTGCTCGAATTTCATTAAATTAGTTGGGAAGATAACAAGTAAAAGTAATTTATGCCATATGACTTTCTAAATTTACTATCATCTCAACAACAAAAAAATGTATTTGGGAGGAAATATGTTTGGAATGACATTTTGATTATCTGCCGATATCACTGCATTTTTCAAAATGTTTTCATTAAAGGCAAATTTGCTTTGTACAGAACAATGGCTTGGATTCTAAGATGATTTAAGAATGTTTATGGAAGGAAACTTTCCCACCCATTCCTCTCTACAGCCTACTGTGCCCTTTGAAAAAGCATTCCTAGAGATTCAGCGCCCTTCCTGAATTAAGTGGGGGCTGCACACAGAAAGGGAGACTAGTAATTTTCTCTCCACAAACTTACAGGATTCAAGTCAGCGGCTATTCATAGTAATGTTATGAAACAGCTAGAGAACTGAGGTCACAAAATTCAGAAAAATCTACCTTGTTACTGTTCTAAATATTCTAGAATTAAATAATTGATGGGTCCATGCACTGAAATAAACTATGATTTGTTATCGAAGTCAAAATTGTCTGGATTCATGAGCATGGTAGCAGTATAGAATGTAAACAAAGTTAATGTTATTTTTTTCAATTTAACTCTGGAGACTTCAGACTTTAACCATTGCTAGCCTTCTTATTCCAACTAAAACAATACCTAAAATGCTTAGTAGAAGAATATTGTGACTCCTATTCTTATTTCTGAAATGTTATTAATGAAAATTCTTTAGTTTTCTCTTCTAAGTTTTTCCATTTGCCCAAAGAAGTTATAAATTCTTTTCAAACTTCACTGCAGCTAATAAAAATGCAACATCTCTTAAAACCAATTTGGAACATACCCAACTTAACAGGACTACCTATGAAAATAGCATTTGTAAGAACCGACGATTGATGTCATTACTAATCCATTTTAATAAACCCATAAAGGGATATTTATGAAAGCAAAATTTTAATCCATATTTTGCTAATGCTGTTAGCAAAAATGTAACACATTAACCTCATGGACAACTCATTGGCTGCTCTTTTCAATTTCTCATCATCACTGAACCATTTAACATGTAAGTGTAATGATGTCTGAGGGATCAGGGGAATCTTATTCAACATCCCATGCTGCATCCCATCCCCTTCTTTTGTCCAGGTTCAGAAATAGAAGACATATCCAAATTGTTGCTACAGCTGGTCAATTTCTCACCCTGTCACAGCTAACATACCAGGGCAAAAAGAACAAGTAATTTAAAGCCCCCAAGTTTCCCAAATAGAGTAAAGCTGTAATTGTGGATACACCACTTAGCATTTAACTTATTATGAAACAATTCTAACGCCTCATCGTTGTTGACGTTCCTTTTTCTCATTCTCCAATTTCTGGATTCTCAACCTCAATGGCTTCTTCTGACCTCTTGCCACCGCCCTGGCTTTTCCTGAACAGTTTGCATTCCTGGTTTCTGACTCATTGTGATTAAGCTATACAGGTAGTTCTCACTTCACAAACACTTGTTCAGCAACCGTTTGAAGTTATGATGGTGCTGAACGAAGAGACCTATGAGGAGCCATCAAAGCTTCATCTCTTGCAGTGTGCCCTGCATTCACCTGAACCAAATTTCAGGTTTACCTGCATTTATGAACTTTTGGCTGCCTACCTGCTGCCAGTAGCTGCTCAGCCCTGCCCTATGTCACCACACCCACTGCATCGGACGCTACTACTCTACCAGCTGGAACGTTGTTTTTTTTTTGTTTTTTTTTATTTGATTTATATGCCGCCCTTCTCCGAAGACTCAGGGCGGCTTACAATGTGCTCAGCAATAGCCTTCATCCTTTTGTATATTTATACAAAGTCAGCTTATTGCCCCCACAAACTGGGTCCTCATTTCACCTACCTTAGAAAGGATGGAAGGCTGAGTCAACCTTGAGCCTTGGCGAGATTCGAACCCTGCAGTAATTGCAGGCAGCTGGTCTTAATAACCAGCTTAATAACAGGGTGCCTTAAACCCCTGTACTACCAAGGCTCAATGTTATTTCGCACACTGGCCAGAAACCTTTTTCATGTGCCATCCAGGTTCTTCTTTCATTGAGGGCACATTAGGAAAGGCTGTGGGCAGCCAGGACAGCCAAAAGGGAAAAGATGGAGGTGAGATAGGTGGATGGGGGAATTCAAGTCCTTTACCTTACACTTACCATATTTTTTGGAGTATAAGTCACACCGGAGTATAAGACGCACCTTAGTTTTTGGGAAGGAAAATAGTGGGGGGAAAAAACTCTGCCTACCAGGTATTCATCTGGCTAGCATCCTTAGCCTGGTCAGCTTCAGCACATTAGTTCGCTGGTTTTGAGCGGGGGCTCAAAAACTGAAAAATTAGATTCTAAAGGACAGGTGATCGTTGGAGGGAGCGGCAATGAGAAAAGCAGGCGAAGCACAGAAGGGGTAAGAGAAGGCAGGAACTGTTCTGGGTAGCCATTTTGGGCACCGTGCGTCGCGTTTTTAGCCTCCAAACGTGTTGCATTTTCGGGAGGTGATTGGCGGCAATGTGCTTTGGCAATCCCCGCAGCCTTGAAGGGCTCTCAAATGGAGTATTTGGAGGCTGAAAACGCAATGCACAGATCCCAAAAACATAAGCCATTGTCGGTGGCAATCTCTGCAGCAAGGAAGAGGATGCGCAGAGGCCAAAGGGTGGGGGCTGGCGGGTGGGTGGGACTATATTCGGCGTATAAGTCACACCCAAATTTTCAGCCTCTTTTAGGGAGGGAAAAGTGTGTCTTATACTCTGAAAAATATGATAAGTACTTACCTTAAGTATTCCATTAGCACTTTGAGTATTCTTTATTTTAACATAGCTAATAATATGTGTAATTAAAAAAATATGTATTTTGATAAGAGATGAAGATTTACTTTGATCTACCCTAATACATAACAATATAATGCACCAGGTATAATCAAGACCAACATTTCGATACTTCCCTTAAGACAACTTTACATCACGCTTACCTGGAACTGCTGCCACTAAGCAGAGTGGTCACATGACATTTCACTTAATGACTATGTTGCTTGGTGACAGCATTGCCAGTTCCAGTTAGGGTTGTTAACTGAGTGAGGAATCCCTGTACCAAGTCCATGCTGATCTTCAGCTCCACAGACCACAATTCTGGTTTATCTTCAAACATTTCATACCCCATAAAGAACCCAAAAGAGACATCTTGGAGTTTGATTCATTTTTTTTTAATAATAAATTGTGCCAGCAGAAGCTTTCAAAAGGCAAATGATAAATAAATAACAGTTAAACTGAGTTCCTGAGGAAGAACCTACCACATAAAAAGATGACAGATAGATGTAAATATAAAAATGGCATTATATAAAAAGTAGTAATACTGAATCTTTCATAAACCACCACAACACAAGCACTGCATATCTCAGAACACTCCTTTCATACAAATGTAAACAAATACACAATCATTTTGCTTAGTTTACTCTGATGGATTTAAAGATGTTGTTTTAGATAGTATCTAATCAATGGGTAGGATATGATAGATTAAAATATTAAGAAATAACATATGGAATAACATAGGAAAAACTGAAGCTTTAGATTTAAAAACATAAAATAAGCAAACACACAGTGGAATATTGCCCTCAAGTGTTATTGCAATCAGTCATTTAAAATAGGACTGTTAAACTAATCTGAATTAAGGATTTGAAAGAAAAATCTATTTAGGTATATATAGAATATAAATGATGATATTTATGGCTTAATTATCTTTAGCATTCCATTATCACTTTGAGTATTCTTTATGTTAACATAGCTAATAAAATGTGTATTTTAAACAATTAAAAAAATATCTTAAATGTATGTTTGTATTTTGATAGAGATGAAGGATTAGTTTGATCTATCATAATACGTAACAATATAATGGACCAGGCATAATCAAGACCAACATTTTGATACTTCACGTAAGACAACTATGGCTGCCACCTAAGTAGATTCTGTTCTGTATATACCTGGTTAAGATAAATCTCTGCACTTAAACAGGTCATAATAATTCAGAGTTCCAAGCAGCCTTGGAAGTGTCAGCATTGTTGTGTAGCGTAGATAAACCATTATGTGATTGTACCATCTCTGATTTTCTTTATACTGATGACATAGGTCTTACCTGCAGATTCAAACAAAATACAACTCCATGCTTTTATCATGTATGTAGTTTCTAGATCTACAAATCATCACAGATAAGCAAAAACAAAAACAAAAACCATACCCAAAATTTGTTAATATTCATCTGGTCTCAGAGATGCTTAAATCAGATGCTGGCAATCATTAAAACCCAACGTTCTTCACTATAGACTATGCTATGAAACTGATGGCATGAAAATTATACTCCAGCAACATCTGAAGGAAAAAGTTATTTATCTTTGCTTAAATGACAAAGGGAAGCTACATGCTTCGATTTTCCACCATAAAATATAATCACAACCATGAATAATTGCATTCTTAGACAACAGGGCTTGGAAAACCTCTGTTTTAAAGAAACAGTTTGCTAAATTACCCTGCACTGCCTGAAGTTAGTACATTATACCTAATCATCTGAATCAATAAATCAACTTTATATGTCCAATACATTCCAGAAATTCATTGTCACTTAGCATTATAGCTTAGAAGAGTCCTATAAATTTAAAAAAAGGATATAAGGCTCCTGATTCAATTTTAAGGCACAGAGAACTGAACATTCTCATTATATATTTCTGCATACAGATACTAAATGATAATATTCATGAATACTATATGGCAACTTACAAACACACTGAATACTGTGCATTGTGCTAGGTAGATGGGCCACAGATTTTGATCACAAAGTGATCTTGAAAGCTATGTTTTGCTGATTATCTTTTTATAGGAGGCTAAATATCCTATGAAATTAGACAACTGATTAAACCAAGCTCTCCTTCCCCCTATTCACACACCATCAATCCCTCCATGAATTAGAGTTTCGCCATTTGTCTTAGAGAACATATAATAGATAGCACACAATCATAATAGAAAAACCATCCACACAATACTTTATCAGCACACCTATTGAAGGTCTAAAGTTAAAGATCTTCAGTAAGAATAGATGCACAGGACCTGCCTGTGAATGGCAAGAGAAAGGTCGTTTCAAACAGAAAAACAAAATAACACAAGCCATGCAGCACTCTCCACACACCAATCATTGATATCACATCCTGATACTGCCACTTACTCAGACTACGATTATACTAAATTCCAACATATTTTTCAAAAGGGAAAATAAAGCAGCTTCAACAATTGTGTCAGAATTTTGAAATGTGGAAAAATAGACATAAAGATTAGGGTCTGAATACAAAAATGGCACTGGTAAATTTAGGACATTAGACGTAATACATTTTTTCCTCTGACTAAATATTATTGCACAGACACTTTTAATCATATGTTCTTCGATCTTATGTATTTTCCTAAAATGTGACATAAGTGCGATGGATCCAATTTTTGACAAATGAGAAAAAGAAGAACAGCAGCATGATTTGTCAAAGTTAATTCCTATAATTTAGTAGGAAAAAAAACCCTGCTATAAACAAAAATAAGTGCTCTTTGCTCACTTAAAATAAAAAATAAAAAAAAAATAGCACAATGCCATAGAAGCATGTAAATGCAAAAGCAGATAAGAAAAAGTTGGTTAAGAATGTAACACACTAGAAACTAGACTGAAATCTGGATTTCAAGTGCACTCATCAACAAAGCTATTTACAGCTCTATATGGCCTAAAATCTGAAACAGCTAGCATTTAGAACCTTCTTTTCAAGTCTTTCTTTCCCGAGACTTGCATGATCCTGAACTGGAACTGATCCCAACCAAGAACTATATAAGGAAGAACCTAAATTTATGAATAAAGTTTTGTTTTAGGATTCTGTACAGTCATTTACACATATACAGGTTGACAGGCTCCATTCTGATCCAGCCCATCTTTGTTTTCTATATCAGGATTCTTAGACTGGCTTATATCTAGCCCAGAAGGCTTTGGATATCTGAATGGGTAACCATTGTCATCAAAAAATCTTCGGAAAGTGAACTCATAGAAGGCATGTTCTGTATGTTTGCCATTAGATGAGGCCTGAGGGTCCCATGCCCTGGCATTGTCTTCACTGGAGTCATCCCAAGGCCCATCTTCCTCAACTGGATCAAAATTGGAAGTGTCCATTGGATGGCTGATCTTTGGGACATAAGGAGCTGGCTGTCTGCGGATGTCAGTGGAAAAGTCTATGGAGTCAAAGAAGGTGTGAGCCTTGATATCATCTGCTCCATTTCTTCCAAGTCTCTCTTCAGCGGAGCAGCAGAGTTTTGTGATAAGATCACTAGCTTCAGGGCTGAGCTTAATCTGAGAGGGAATGTGCAGAGTATTCTCCCAGTTTATCACCTAAAAAATAGAAGTATATAGTTAATGTTGAATATCAATCTGCATGAAGCTCAAGACATCCACAAGCTAAATAATTCTGCCAGTTGTTTGGTATTCAAGGTACTCAATGACAATTCTGCCTTTTGCTTTATTTTGTATGTATCTCCTCACTTACAAAGAAAGCAAATTTAACAGATAACCAGATCATGGCAGAAAGTCTCTTACTCCAAGGGATTATGGGAAGCAATTTAGTTGCATATTTAGCATAGTCCTCCGTTGACTCACTTCTTTCATCATAATCTTGTTGAAGTCTTGTAGTCTCTGTACCAAGGAGAGTAGTAAATATTTAGTGAAACTACAGCTACCACTCTTGCAAAGGGACCCACTGCTAAATATGCCCTACTAAATGATCAGAAGAAGCAAAAATGCTTTTTAATTAATGCACAGATAATTCCAATAATCCCCACACAACAACAAAAAAACCCCTTAAATTGCTTTACTTTTACATAAAGAGGCCACTTAAGTGATATGCCTATCTAAACAAATGATACCCCACAAATAACCTGATCCACCTTTAGAGGGACAGAAACGCCCAGGGATGTAATATAGTAGTCTACTGTGTTTCCCTGAAAATAAAACCAGGTCTTATATTATTTTTTGCTCCAAAGGACGCTTTAAGGCTTATTTTCCTGTTAGGTCTTATTTTCGGGGAAATACAGTACTAAATGTGTCTGTCTGATTGATAATCTTAACTGGGGTAGGATTTATATTACTGGCATCCTGAAAAATCATGCTAGGGCTTATTTTCCGGTTGGCTCTTATTTTGGGGAAAACACGATAGTACCCTGTCTATGTATTGTATATTATATATACAATATAAAAATCAAGAGTTTTGATTGCCAATATAGATATATATTAGCTCACATATGAAGCTAGTTTAATTAAGTATTTAATAACAACCAATCCTATTTAGAATTAACAGGCATATGTGTTTGCGTGAAAAAGAGAACAGTTTTAACTTTGTCCATGGACAACACAATTATATAATAATCAATAGGAAAGAATATGTATATGTAGATCAGAGTTAAACTGCGGAGTCCTTGGTGCTCTCTGAGCTTGGCTGTTTGCTTGCTGATGTTTCATTACCCAACTAGAAAAAATCTTCAATGCTAGTATGAAGTTTGCTCCCTGTCTACTGTATATACTGTATATACAGCAGCTTGTCCTACCAGTGTTGGTGGGGATGCAGTTTTTTTGTTAGTGGTACCTTGATTGGGGTATTTATTTTCTGTTTCTTACTCTTATCTGAGTATTGGCTGCTAGGGAGAATATCTTTTAGCTTTTTATTGTCTGTTTTGAATGGTGTGTAACTATAGTTTATATCTATGTGTTTACTGACGGCTGTTTTGTCTGAATGCCAAGCTTTCAGGAATTCCATAGCGGTTTTGGATTAATTTGGTCTGGTATATTCAGAGTTTCCAAGCTGAAACATAGTTGAGTCTGTCCATGTACTGAGATATTAAGGAGTTTTCATTGTGTCTTCTGACTGCTAATTGGTATTCATGGATACATTCTGCTAGTCTTCTATCTGACCTACATGGTAGCTGTTACAATCCTTACATTCTATGTTGTAGATGACCCCTATTTTTTTTTTCTTGGACTACTGGATCTTTTGATATACTTGATTTACTTTGAAGGGCTTTATTTGGTTTGTATCCTATAATAATGGCATATGATTGTAATAAGTCTATTAGTTTACTGGTTCTTTCTGAGATGATTTTAATGTATGGTAGTCTTACCCTTTACACACACACACACACACACACACACACACACACACCATAAATATGAATAAAAGTAACAATAAGTGAATATACCTTTAGCTGAGTTTCTGTAGGAGTTGATGCCAAAAATGGAGGCTGCCCCACTAACATCTCAAAGAGAATTACACCAACACTCCACCAATCACAAAGCTGAGTATATCCTGAAAGATAAGAAGAAAAATATGTTTTCATTGTTTCGTGCTAGATTTAAAGATCATGATTATCACCATCACCATTATCAACACTACCACCATAATGTATATCCCATTATATGCAGGCTTATTAAATCTTTTAATCTAAAAAATGAAATAACTGAAATGGTTCATTTAGAACCCACTAACGCAAGCAAAACGTGCATTTAAGAATATTCAGCTTATTTTATTCATTGAACTTGTAAAGCTAAAAAAAAAAAAGCATTGTATTCTTCATAAAATTTCATCTATCCTGAATGTTGTCATCTGTTTCACCCAATATTTGCTGTAGAAATGGTTCTGCCCAAGTCTTTTTTCATGGAAATTGTCTAGATCTGAAAGTCAGTTATGGATTTTCTGTAATTCTATCTTTGTTACAATGAAAGCTGAACACCCTAAAGCTTTAAGAGTTTATCTAGATATGGATGGAATATTCACACTTTCACATGGTAAATAAGTTTAATAAATAAATAAACAGTTGGATTTAAGATTATATTAAATAGCACAAATGAGAAAAACAGGGTCTCAAAGTGACAATGTCTTTCTAACAAAGATAAAAACCATCTACCTTTACGTAGAAGAACCTCTGGCGCGATATAGTTGGGAGTGCCAACTAAGGAATGGGCTAAGCATCTCTGATGTTGCTTTTTAACTCTCTGCTCCAAGGTCTTCAACCTGTCCCCACATCTACAATTAGACACATCGTCCCAAAGATCACTTGGCTCCATGCTATCCTGCCTGATGTGACTCCCTTTCAAAAGAAGAAAAAAAAAAGATTACAATCAAAGATCCATACAAACATTCCCAAGTTACAAAACAAAAATGGACATTATTCAAAATGAATTGCAATACAATATTCTAGATACGAAGAAGGTAATTCATTTTTGTTGCAGTTTGTATTAACATTTTTCTGTGGTTAATTTATTAAAAAAGAGTGCTCCACAAATACTAGGAGCCATAAGAAAGCTTTTCAGCCTTTTATTGAAAATAAGCTCTGGGACATCAAGTATGTCCAGAAATAAGGATTTATGCCAAAGGCAAGGTACACCTAGAGTTTGAATATCAAAAGTTCTATCAGACTAGATGATTGAAATTTATAACAATTTTGGTGATTGCTACTGCTATTTGTACTACGGTTACTATAATTATAAGTCTATATATTTTATTGGTGTGTTTTGTGGCCCAAAGGCCAGAGTAGCTTTGCAGAGAGAGATGGATGGCCTATAATTTTAATAAATAAATAAGGATTTCATTTGAACATCTTGGTTTCTCTTAATTTTATTCAGAATACTGTTTCTAAAATAAAAAAGGTAAATATCTAACAGCTTGTTCCCATATTCCTTAATCAGTATTCAGAGTTAATTTACGACCACAATTGAGCCCAAAATGTTCATTGCTAAGCAAGACGGTTGTTATGTGAGTTTTGACCCATTTGACAATCCTTCTTGTCACAGTTGTTAAGTGAATCACTGCAGTCGTTAAGTTGGTAACATGGTTATTAAGTGAATCTGGTTTCCCCATTGACTGTGCTTGTCAGAAGGCTGCAAAAAGAGATCCATGATCTCTGGTCACTGCAGCCATAACTACACGCCGGTTGCCAAGCATCCAAATTTTGATCAAATGACTAACAGCCATAAGTGTGAAAAATGATCATAAGTCACTTTTTTCAGTGCTGTTGTAACTTCAAATCAGGGGTGGGATTCTCCAACAATCAGCTGGGAGAGAACTGGTTTGCTCCGGCAATCAGCTGGGCCCTGTGCTTTACTTACCTTTATCTTTGCAGCTAATTAGCGCGGCAGAGCGGATTGCCTCAGCTGTTTTAATTCCCTAGGACTAACGCGGGAGGTGATTTTTTGTTGAACTACGCATGTGCGTGCAATGCACACCTGGTGTGGGCGCGCACAAAGCACACGATCACCGAACCGGCTATTAAACCAGAAGGATCCCACCACTGCTTCAAATGGTCACTAAATTAATGGTTGTAAGTTGAGAACTACCTGTACTGATTTTGTGCCTGTTCCTAGCCCAGGGTAAACGTTTTATTCTTATCTTTAAATTCCTACTAAATTCTGCCTTCCACCCTCTTTTTCCTCTACTCTTCAATCCCGGTAAAACCTTCCCAAAAATCTCCTGCTTCTTCAAGGGATTTCCCTTGCTAACTCTACTTGGAATTGCTTCCCAAAACACCACATGGTATTGGCTTTCTTTTATCTTTTAAGATCTTTTACTTGGTTCTCTTTAAAATATTGGTATGTTTTCAATGTTTTGGAAACTGTTCAAAGAATTTACCTAACAAGTGAGATATAAATTCTTACAATAAAGAAACCTTAGACACTATCTTTAATTTCTACTGTATTTCTGAATATTCTTCAGTAATGTTTTTTTTTAAAACAGCTGTGTCATATATTCTTCTACTTCAGCCTTCCCCACTCTGGCAGTCTCCATTTGAATTCAGACCATAACTCTGAGAATTCTCGGCTAGCTTTGCCTTCCAAGGAAGATGTCAAATTGAAAAGAGTCGCTGCATTGCACCTCAACTTATCCAAGGATCAATAAAAAAGAACATGCATAAATCTACTATACAACCCTGCATCCAATCCCTCTTCTTTTTTGTGCAACATGTTTAGATAGTAAATTTGTAAAACATCTGGTTCTTATACTCTGCAAAGTGACAAATACAGTAACAGAAATGTCAAAGCCTAGCATTATTAGTTATTCCTTTTTAAAACTGTATAAGAACCCTACCTTTCTGATAGTATTTTGAGTTATGTGTCCACCTGAATCCAGTGCAGAGGCCAAAGTCAGTCAGTTTGATGTGTCCATCAAGATCAATCAGGATATTATCTGGTTTGATGTCCCTATGGATAAATCCCATTTTGTGGACACTTTCTATGGCTAAAGTTAGTTCAGCAATGTAAAACCGAGCTAGCTTTTCTGGGAAGACTTCCATTCGGATCAACAGGCTCATCATGTCTCCTCCTGGGATGTAGTCCATCACAAAATACAGGCTGTCTTTATCTTGGAAGGAGTAGTAGAGCTTGACCACCCATTCATTGTCTGCTTCTGCGAGGATATCCCTCTCAGCTTTGACATGAGCCACTTGGTTACGGTTGAGCACATCTTTCTTCCTCAGTGTTTTCATGGCGTACAGAGCATGAGTATCCACTTTGCAAGCAAGGCAGACTTCACCAAAAGCACCGATGCCTAGAGTCTTGATTTTTACAAACATCGATTTATCCATTTTAGCTCTTTTCAGCCTGTTATAGTTTGATTCTTTTTGGTAGAGAATTTTTCTCATCTGCTCTTGCTCTGCTTCGCAAAGACCAGCCTTAGTCAAAATCAGGGAGTGGGGAAGAGAGGGGAAAAATAAGCAAAAGAATCAGTATCATGGCAACAATTATCAGAAACCTACACAATATACTGTAATTCTAAATTACAGCCAATCATCTTTTTGTCCAATTCTCAGGTTCTAAGCTAGTTTTCCCTAATTTGGGGATGGAGGCTCTAAATATTTAAATACAGCACAGATAGATTATGTTCGGGTTTACTCACTAAAAAGCCAGTCTTCCTCTGACATCTGCCTGGACAGCCCAAAGTCTGCAGAGAAGGACCTTCACATGGATTACATTAGATATCGGGGGTAGGGGGAGTATATTCAGCATAGGTCTCCCCAATGAGTTTTTCCAAATGTGTTCAGAATCATGTTCATTTCATGACACTATTGACAGACATAAAAACTGGTTGGATTCAATACATGTAATTGTGAGAATTTACTTTTTAAGGTCAGTTTGGTATAGTGGTTAGAGCATCAGGCTAGAAACCAGGAGGTTGTAAGTTTTAGTTCCACCTTGGGCACAAAGCCAGCTGGGTAATCTTGGTCCAATCACACTTTAGAAAGAGACAATGGTAACCAGTTCCACAATCTTGCCAAGAAAACGGCAGGGACTGTCACCAGCACTTAATCACGTTGGAGGAAAACTTTATATCTAGTTTTGAATTCACATGTTAAAGGAACAGAAAAATGATGTCCTTTTGGTTTTAGATGAAATGATGCTGTATGTAGAAAAGAGAAAGACCTACAGACTTACTTTTCTTTAGATACAACACTGTTATATATAATTTATGTGTACTTGGAAGGTCCTAACGTAACAAGTTTTACAAAATCAAATACAGAAGCCCACAAACATAAATCACCTTGGCCATTTCCTGCTCTAGCTGTAGCCGGCGATTCATTTTCTGCTGATAGGTCTTTATAACATTCTCCACATGCTGCTCCATGTAGAATTTAAAGGCAAACGGTGAGTAGCTCTTGATTCGGGATTCTCTCTTCTCTTCATCTTTGCCATTCTTCCGCACTGGCACCGGGGAGGTCTGTATTTGCTTTTTATCCTTGCCTACTTTTTCTGATTTAGCTGTCTTGATTTTTTCATTCCTTTCTCCGTTTTCCTCAGATTTGTTGCTTGCTGAGCTTGGGATTCTCCGAATGGTTTGTTCCATTCCTGGACGTAAACAGTTAATATCAAACTGCTCTGAACTGTTGGGTAGCAGCAAATGTTTGGGATATGGCGGTGGAGGACACCTGAGTTCCTGATTGCTATAATCAACATCTAACGGATAGGCATTTGCTCCCCCAACAGGAAGGGGGTGTTGCTCCATCATTCCTAGGTTGTCTAATGCTGAAGACTGTGCAGGTAACCAACCTGGATGAGCAGGGCCTACAGCAGTCTGAGGTTCAGGCCTCATCACTCTTGTGCTCTTAACTGGTTGGAGAATATGAGTAGCTGTGACAGCCGTGATGGTATTTGGAGAAGGCATGGAGGCCTCAGTTTTGCCTGAAGCAGTCTGCCTCATAGGTACGGGCATTTGTGGCTGGTGGTTGTTAAAAGAATTGGTTCTACTGGGGACACAGGCATCTGGCCTGAAGGGTACATGTTGCCGCGGAGAGGCTTCCAATGCTTGGCTCTGTAGTGAATCACGACGGGATGAAGAAGAGGAAGAGGAGGAAGAGGTTGTTTGCCACTGCTGAATCTGAGAGTTATTCAGATCATATAGATCCATATTCAGGCTATTTCTAGATGGGGTTAAGAGACCCTGGGGTGGGCTGTCTGAAAATTCATTACTAAATGGAGCACCTCTAGTGATTACATGAATTGGATGAGAATTTGGGATTGGCTGTTTGTGATGGGAATGTGGCATATATAGACCAGCCTGCTGGAACCCATGGCCAGAATTGTTAGGTGCAACAGTTGCTTTGTTAGGGAGGCTCGGATACCCTCCTTCTTGTTGCATTTTATTTTGAAAAGAATGGCTCCGCTGAATTCCATATCCAAGACCCTCACTCTGCACCATCACAGGCTGTCTGCCATAATGTGGACTATTTGAGCCATGGGTACCCTGCAACTGCAAAGCTTGGTTACTGTGACCAGCCACTGGATAGCTGATGACTGAGGAATCCATGTTAGTAGGGTAGGCTTTCTGTTGAAGATTGCCAGGAGTGTTGTGGGAGCCTAAGCATGGTGGCCTTTGTACAGAAGCATTCATGGTCGCAGACTGAGAAGCAGAAAGTAAATAGTCCATATATGGCCTAGGAACATCACTGAGTACATTAGCAGATTCAGCACCAAAACCAGTGCCTTCATAGGCTGGGTTAGTTATCTGGTGATAAGGTGAAAAAGATTCAGTGGATCCTTCAAAACTTGGCCTTCGGCTTACATTGCTTGGCATTATATTTTTTCCTGTGGAGATTAACACAACGGATGGATTAACATCAGAAAGATAGGTATATGAATAAATGCTGTCCTTTCTTTCAAACACACACACACACACACACACACACACACAGAGGGAGACAGAAAGAGGGAGGGAGGGAGGGAGGGAGGGAGGGAGGGAGAGAAGTAAGGAAGGAGAAAGTATTGTGTAACCATGCCAGATTTAAAACAGTTATTCACTGTGTCCAAAGTTTAAGCACTGGTTTCAGGGGTGCTATTCAGCAGGTTCTGGAGAACCTGTAGCGGAAATTTTGAGTAGTTTGGAGAACGGCAAATACCACCTCTGGCTGGCCACAGAGTGGGGTGGGGATGGAGATTTTGCAATATTTCCCCCAGGAGTGGGGAGCGAATGGGGATTTTGAAGTATCCTTCCCCTGGAGTGGGTGGGAATGGAGATTTTGTAGTATCCTTCCCCTGGAGTGGGGTGGGAATGGAGATTTTGCAGTATCCTTTCCCTGCCACGTCCACCAAGGCACGCCCACAGAACTGGTAGTAAAAAAATATGAATTCCACCACTGACTGGTTTCCAGTCAAGTTTACTTTTCATTGTGCATGAAATCAATTTTGGAAAAAATGAAATGTTCTTGAAGTTTCTTTATAAGCATATTTGTCTTGCTGCACATGTGAAAGAATGGGGAAAGAAAAATAGTGAAGTACATAGGCTATGTTATTCCTTTTCTTTTTGCGCTGAAAACAGCACAGAATTCTTATGTCTAGTTTTTCCTTGTAAAAGAAAATTTCGATCTCAAATCTTTTAACACTAAATGCAGTGTAGTTTCTGCAGGAATTCCAGTCAGTTACATGAGAGATTATGACATAAAATGATCCAGCCATGGAATTTCATGTAGAGTTTTCCATAGGATCATAATCTCTCCTCCTCCTGTGGCGTTACATTTACCAAAGTTGGGAGAGCTGAAATCTTAATCTGGTGTACACTCAGAGCTAGATTCACCTTGAAATAGTTGAAAAACACACATAGAAGACTAAACGAACTTGCTTACCTGAAGAAGTCTGCTTAATTACACGGACTATTTGTTCATTTCTAGGGTCTAAGTATCCCATTTTGCTAATATATTCCAAAGCTGCTTCAATGCTTCTACTCCCAGTCTGTTTGAGAGCTCTAATAGCCATTTCCTAGACAAAATTAAACAAACACAAGAAATCTGTAAATTATCTGGAAGTATTTAATGTAATATAAGTACAACGAACTGAGGCATTTTATTGATGTATTATATCTGAATATATTATGCCTTTAAATTAAAAAAAATGCAAGTAATATTTACTGCATCCTGCCTTTTCTCCAGCAGCTCAAAATCATGTAGATTGCACTCCTCTAGATTTTTCCCACAACAACCATTTTATGTGGTAAATTGGGCTTAGAGTAGTCCAAAGTCCCCCAATGAACTTCTGTGGTTGAGAGAAGGCCCAACCCTGGGTCTCCCTGGTCTTAGTCCAGCATCTGAACCACTACACTCTATGTACAGACTTCACAGAAAATGTTGAATTAAAGGTGCATCCCTTCCTGCACCATCTTTCTATAAACACTTATAGCAAAAGTAATTCCCATTTCATTTTTAAAAAACAACCATTGCTGCCTGGTTGTTGTAAGGTTTTTGTTCAATCAGTTTCAAGCTTCAAAATGTGCAACCCAATTAACTGGCTATTCAACTAAAAAGTAAAAACAAGAAGATATTTTGAAATGTCTAGAAACCCACATATTTTATCACTTAGGTGTAGAACAAAGCTTTCTAAAACTAGTTGGCTGAGAATGCTCACCACCCCCACCACTAGCAACTCAAGACACAAACTCAAATGAACTAGGTTTTGGCATATAGCTAGAATGCTCCAAATATTTTTAAAAATATTCGGTTCTGCAGTGACACCCTGCAGCAGCTCTTCTTACAAGATGCTTCAGATAGCATGCTTCTGAGATTTCATATTCTTTTAAAATAATTTATATGAGAACAAAATAGCTGGGGGAGTACAGGGTGGCCAAAAGAGCAGAGATAGGTGGAGACAGGCAGGTGGGGAAGAGTTGAAATGCATGCTATTGTCCTGTAGGCTGCCAAATACGATCACATGACTGTAGGGCGTTGCAGTGGCCATAACTTCAGGGACCAACTGTAACTACCATTCATTCATTGCCGTCGTAACTTCAAACACTGGCTGAATGAATGGTTGTTAAGCAGGGACTACATTAACCACCCCACTTGGAGAAAATAAATATTGTTTCATAGCCAGCAGTTATTTCCATGCACTCTTTACCTAAATACTATTTCATCAAGGCTGGAATAGCAGCGGACAGCTTCCCCTGTTCTAGCCTCTGTGTTGGCTTACTTCCCCACTCACATTGGCAGAGGATAGGACTCCAGTTGTTTCATAAGACTGCCCAGCAACATTTTTCATTGAGAGGGGGAAAAAAAGGGAGCTGGTTGCCAGAGTATATTTATAATCATAAGTTAAGATTGTGAAAGAAGTTATGGAAAGATTCCTCCTCTCCTCAAAAACAGACAAGAATCCTTTTCCAACTTGGTATGTCTGAAGGAGACAACAGGCGGTTCAAGATGTGGACAAAAGAAAACCGCTAAAAGTCCCATACTTAATACAAATATAAACAATGTGCTTTTCCATTCACAAGAAGGACGGGCGAAAGATGCCGGAAGGAGATCGAGAGTTCTTCAAGGGAGGGGCAGAAGAATGGGCTTCTTCAAAAGGAAGGAGAATTAGCCTTTTAAGGAAAGTTCATTGTGATTATTCATGCTGCTAAGTTTCTTGCCCACTGGAAGCTCAAGGAAGACAATATTGTTTCCCAGAACACATTTCTATTTCTGGGCCATTTATGAAGGTTTTATAATCGTTTACTCAGGGGCCCTGCTTCTGCAGGATATACCCATGATTACATTTTAAAAATTGTACCTGTTACATACATTAAGGCAATAAGGAGACAAATATGGAAAAATACTGTACAAAAACACACACGGGAAAACTGGATCAACTTCATTACAATAGACCTCCACTGAGCACAAGGTAGTGGCTGAAGGGATTTATTTAGCTAGTTGGGGATGGGCCAGCAGCTATTCAGTTCTATAAATACTCTGCTAGTCCTAGGAGACGCAATCCTGAGTTGGTGAATGAAACTGAACCTTTACATGGGGTTTAAAAGAAAAACCTGAGGGGGAGGCTAAGAAATTAGAGGAACACTGATGGAAAACAGTTCTTAGGACATGAGGGGGAGTCTAAGAGAGCACATAACTCCATTTAAATGATAAATCATTATAATAAGAGGTTATTATAAGAGATGAGTTTAGCAATAGTGCATGGAAGTAAACAAACTGAAATTAAGGAAGATAGCTATAGAGGTAGAAAACTAGCAGAGATATGGAGTTATATATTGCAGAGGACCACTTTGCAAATAATCTGAATGAATTCCTTCAAACTTCATGGAAGCATACCTATTTCTCATTAAATTAGCCATTTTTTCATGCTTCCACGTAAGCCTGCAAAAAAAAAAAAAAAAGTATGGCTCCTTTAATGAGTCAACACATTAAAACAGCTGCCTCATTTTCACAGGTCATCTAGAACAAAGATGACGCTATATGGATGAAGATGGTTGCATTTGTACGGAGTCTTGAATACTTTTTTTGACTTTATATAAGCATGCTTAGACTTATTATCTAGAAAGGGAGAAAAATATTAGAAGTGCTCCATTCCTTGGTGATGAACAGATACTCTCTTTTGTCAAATATATGCTTCTGAGATTTCATAACAGTAGACAATTTGACAGAGAAAAGGACAACAGGATTTGTAAAAGTCATGATTACATGATGGCACAAAACTACACATCTCACTTAGCTTGGTAAATGGTTCTGTGACTGATTCAGCAGTCATGATGCACATTGGTGTAAATAATGTGGGACCCATGTAATTGTGATTTTTGAGGTTCTGGAACCCAAGTGCAGGTTTCCAAATAGGAAGTTGAGAGGATCAAGCTATATTTAACTGAAATGTTACATAGATCATATACGGAATCAGCTACCCAGACAAACCTGAGGAGTGTGAAGGAATGCATGAGCAAAATCCAATTTGATAGTCACTGTGGAACTAAGAATGTGTTTAAAAAGGAGGCAACAATTTAAAACAGGATGGAACTGCTAGAAGATCCATCCCATCCCCAGCCAGGAAAATAAAATGAGCTGGAAAACATCTGGTTCGGCATCAATCATCTCTGCAGAATTCAGGTAAAAATGTTTGATTATTAAAAAGTAGGACGTAAGCACACTATAAAGCAGGGAAATCAAAGAAGCCAAGTGCTCACAGAAGACAACACATATTGCAGAGGTATTTCCATAAAGGCATCCTGTCTAAGTGTTTAGAAGTGAATATTAAAAGTCTTTGAGCCAAAATTGTGTGTGTGTGTGTGCGTGCGCGCGTGTGTGTGTGCGTATAGGGGGAAACTGGGGTGCTTGGGAGACCAGAGCAATAGGGCTAAAAAGAAAGTTAATGGCAAGAAGACAAATAGGGGCATATAGTCATCTAAACATAAAAGTCTCTGGGAAACACTGTCCTTTGCACTTCAGAAAGAAGGTACAATGTCATATTATAAACTAGAAATTATAGAAGGGCAAATTTCTATATAAGAGCAATATAACTAGGACATGTCCCCAAAGTAATTTAGTAGTCAGCACATAGTATCCTAGTGCAAATATCTGTATCTGAACTGATAATTTAATGAGAGAAATCTGAGGAAAGATTGTGCTGACAAGACACGTTTTACGTTGAACAGGCAAATGAAAAACAAATAATTCCTCTGGTTCAGATGGAATCCATCCAAGAGTTTTTAAAGCACTAAAACATAAACATGCTGATCCTTCAGCAAATATATGTGACATGACCTTCAGAAAAGGACCGGGCAGTGGTTCATTTTTATACAGGAACCAAGAAAGATCCAGGAAACATCTGTTCTGGGTACATTGGTGCCAAGTGTTATTAGAGTTAAAAAGATTGGGTTTATAGGAAGATAAAGCTTGTTAAGGAATCATCAACATGGTTACCTCTCTGACCTTTTCGAATTTTCTGAGGGCGTCAACAAGCATGTGAATGAGGTAATCTAGTAGACAATGGCTGCCTGAATTCATAAAAAGGCTTCTGAAAAGGTTTCTGAGAAAGTACAGTGAACACATTCAGTAACAGTAACAGAGTTGGAAGGGACCTTGGAGGTCATCTAGTCCAACCCCCTGCTCACGCAGGGGACCTGTACTAGGGATTCAAACCACCGAACTGCCGACCTTTCTGATTGACAAGCTCAGTGTGTTAGCCACTGAGCCACTTAGTCAGGCTATAAGACATAAGAGAAGAGCTCTCCTTAACTCAGTAATTAACTGAAAATAGAGAATAATAGGAATAATCAATCAATAATTTATACAGTAGAGAATTTAAACAGTGAGAATTTTCCAGCATACATATTGGGGCCATGCTTTTGAACTTATTCTACAGTCATTAACCTAGGATTAGCAAGTGAGTTGACTGATTTTGCTAGTATTGTATCCAATTATTTGGGGAAATTCATACAAACAAACAAGAAAAGCAAAGTCAATGGGGACCAGATTCACTTAACAACCATGTTACTAACTTAACAACTGCTGTGATTCACTTAACAACTATGGCTAAGAAAGGTAATTAAATGAGGCAAAACTCACTTAACAATATTTTGGGCTCAATTGTGATTGTAAGTCAAGGACTACTTGTATGGGATAAACAAAATCCTTTTGTTATGCCACCCATATCTTTTAGAACTAGAGCAATTTTCTAGTTACCTATAAATAATATTTAACCTTTTTTTTTTGGCTGTGTAGTCCTTTTTGCCACACCTGTTTGACCATAAGATACAACTTAATTGGCACTTTCACCTGGAAGTAATGAGCACCCTCAATGACTATATTTTCTAAATTTGGATGGACTGCACATTTCTCAAATTCAGGGCTATTAGCCAAGACCTTCAGGCGAACAGGGCAAAATCTGTCCTTTGCCAACTTGACTAGAATGACCGGGTCAGAGCTGATGGCAGATTACCCGCCAAGTCCTTCGATAGGCTGAAAGATTTGACAAAGAGTTTCCATTTCAGAATCCACTTCTTC